CCAAATAAAAATTATAAGAGCATATCTTAGAGAAAACAATCCTAAAATTCATTTGGAGCCAGAAGAGAACTAAAATAGGGGCTGGGGAGACAACAGTAGAATAAGTGATTGCCTGGCAAGCACAAGGGCCTGAGTTCAATCCCCAGTTCTGCCAAAGAGAGAGAGAGAGAGAGAGAGAGAGAGAGAGAGAGAGAGAGAGAGAGAGAACTAAAATAGTAAAGGCAGTCCTAGGCAACCAAGGCAAGGCAGGGGGCATTACAATCTCTGACTTGAAATTATATTGCAAAGCTGCTATGATAAAAGAAGCATGGTACTGGCAAATAAACAGACCCAAGGACTAATGGAACAGACTAGAAGATGCAAAAACAACTCCTTCACTCTGAGCTATATTTCTCAGCTCTTTTTTTTATTTTGAGATATGGACTCACTAAATCATTAAATTGTCCAGATGGGCTCACACTTTCAATTTTTCTTGCCTTAGTCCACAAGAGTGCTAGGATCGCAGGTATGTGCCACCATGTTCACCTTGAAACTGTTTTCTTAATTTGATTTTCAGAATGTTCTCATAATGTACAATAGATTTTGGCTTATTTAGCTTGTATCTTGTGATATTGCTGAACTTGTGGATTATTACTAATGTATTTTAGCAAAATGATAGGATTATTTGTGTGATGGTAGTGTTTCTGAGGATTAAACCTAGGCCCTTGCGCATGCTAAGCAAGTGCTATACTCCAGCTATATCCCCTGAGCTACATCCTCTGAATTCCTTTATATTTCTCCAGCTCCTTTCTATTTATTTTATTTTTTATTTTATTTTTTTTAAATTTTATTTATTTATTTATTTATTTATTTTGTGTGTGTGTGTGGCCAGCTCAGCCCACCAGGGGGTGGGGCTGGCTGGCATGTGGTGCTGGGGGATTGAACCGTGGTCCCTGCGCTTTGCTTGGCTTAACTGTTCTAAGTAGGTGCTTTAGACCACTGAGCCATCTCACCAGCCCTATTTATTTTATTTTGACACAGGTTCTCACTAAGTTGCCCAGGCTGGTGGTAAATTCAGAATCACAACATTCCTGTCTCAACCTCTCAAGTGGGATTATAGCCATGTATTGTCATGCCTGCCTAGTTCCATAAAATATTCTATATCCATGACTATATCATCTGTGAGTTGAGACAGTACTATTTCTAGCCTTATAATCAACATGCCCTTTATTTCTTTTTCATAATAGTCATGACTAGAACTTCTAGCATAACTTTGAATAGAGATGGTGAGAACAGACATCTTTGTTTTGTTTCTGACATAGGCAACACTAGGTATGATCCCAACTAATTTTTTTGTAGATTTTTTTTATCATGCAAGGAAATTCCCTACTTGGACTTGGATTTTATCAAATGTTTCTTCTGTATCTAGTTAGATAATCTTGAAATTTTTGTTTTTTTATCTTATTGATGTATTATATTATAGTGGTTTTTATTTTTTTAATTTTTTTTAAATTTTTTTTATTTATTTGTGTGTGTGTGTGTGTGTGTGTGTGTGTGTGTGTGTGTGTGTGTATGACCAGCTTATCCCTCCAGGGGGCGGCCCTGGCTGGCATGTGGTGCTGGGGGATTGAATCACGGTCCCTTTCTTTGCTAAGTTTGTTCCAAGTAGGTGCTTTAGACCACTGAGCCATCTCACCAGCCCCTATAGTGGTTTTTAGATATTGAGCTAATGTTTTACTCTTGGGGTGAAGTCCAATTACTCATGGTGTGTAATTCCTTTTATATTCTGGGGATTTGGTTTGCTAATATTTTGTTGAAGATTCCCATGTCTATATTCCTGTTTTTGCTCTGTAATTTTATTTCTTTGTGATGTATTTGTCAAGCACTCTTTCTCTTTTTTAAGTACTCTTTCTTAAACATACCTACAATATCAGATTTATCACACATAGTATCATACCTTTAACAGCTAGGTATGTGCTGGGCATGATGGCACACACACATTAAGAGGCTTAAAGAGGCTGAGACAGGAGGCTCACTGTGTGCTGGAGGCCAATCTGTGCTACATAGTGAGTTCAAGGCCAGTCTGAACTCTATAGTGAGGCTCTGACTTTAAAAAAAAAAAAAAGATGGGGCTGGTGAGATGGCTCAGTGGTTTAAAGCACCTACTTAGAACAAGTTTAGCAAAGCACAGGGATCGCGGTTCAATCCCCCAGCACCACATGCCAGCCCCACCCCCTGGTGGGCTGAGCTGCCCCCCCAAAATAAAATAAAAAAAAATGGAAAACCTAAATATGCGCAAAGATTCAAGTCAATGTTTCAGTGTTCTCCCCTGCATGTGATTTTAAGAGTGCTTTAAAAAGCCTCCCATGTTGGAATGCATAAAGGAGCCTTGAGCATTAGGCTGGGGTGGAGAGGGAGATGGCTCAGTGGACTGGCAAGCACAAGGGCCTGAATTCAATCCCCGGTTCCGCAAAAAAACAAAAACAAAAAAAACAACAACAATGGCTGAAGAGTTTGTGTTGGAAAAGAGAAGACTCTGTGTGTGTGTGTGAGAGAGAGAGAGAGAGAGAGAGAGAGAGAGAGAGAGAGAGATATTTTTAAAAGACCAAACCTCTTTCCTTAGTAACTCAGTGAAAAGAGCTAGAGCTAGTGTATGCTTGGTTCTGGATGACAGAACCAAGACAAAAGAGGAAGGAAGCTGCAGGGAAGCAGATTTGACTCAGAAAAGGAAGCCCTAAGAGCACATCTCATTCTTTCAGCCTAAAATCCATCACAACACACCAACTATCTGACCACAAAGTGCCATGTGGAAGTGAAGACCTTGTTTCTGTCCTAGTCATATTCCCCTTATTGCTTCACTTCCTTCTCTAGGATACATTATTCAGCCATTCTCTATTAGTTCAATCTTTGGGCTTCATGAGATGCCCTGAATTTCTACCTTAACCTTAGATGAATGAATCTTGTCTATAAGCTGCTGGATACTTTCAGAAAAAATATAAATCACATGCCTACAGACTAGTTTCCAGTCTCCAAATTCAGTTAGGGTCACCAAATTCAGTTGGGGAGACTCTTTTTGAAAGACGGATACTTGATTGGTAATTCCTGAGCTCAACTCTCCTCCTACTTCATTGGAGTTTTGATTTGCTTTACATTAATAATTAGTGGGGGCTGGTGAGATGGCTCAGTGGTCTAGAGCACCTACTTAGAACAAGCTTAGCAAAGCACAGGGACCGCGGTTCGATCCCCCAGCACCACATGCCAGCCAGCCCCGCCCCCTGGTGGGCTGAGCTGGCCACACACACACACACACACAAATAAATAAATAAATAAATAATTAAAAAAAAATTAGTGATGCTGAGCATCTTTTTATGTGCTTCTCTTTAGGGAAATGGTCTATTCAAGTCCTTTGCCCATTTTTGAATTGGACTATTTTTCTGTTGTTGCATTTTGGGAGTTCTTTACATGTTTTGGATATTAACTCTTTGTCAGAAATATAAATTACGGGGGGGGGGCGCTGGTGAGATGGCTCAGTGGTCTAAAGCACCTACTTAGAACAAGCTTAGCCAAAGCACAGGGACCGCGGTTCAATCCCCCAGCACCACATGCCAGCCAGCCCCGCCCCCTGGTGGGCTGAGCTGGCCACACACACACACACACACACACACACACACACACACAATAAATAAATAAACTTTAAAAAAAAAATTACAGGGGCCGGGGAGATAGCTCAGTGGAATAAGTGCCTCCCTAGCAAGTGCAAGGGCCTGAGTTCAATCACTGGTTCCACAAAAAAAAAAAGAAATACAAATTACAAATATTTTGTCTCATTCTTTCTACTCTGTTGAGAGTATCTTTTGATACACAAATTTAAATTTTTTTCATGAAGTCATTAGCCTATTTTTTCTTTTGTTATCTATACATTTGGTGTCATATCCAAATCTAACATTGCAAAGTTTTATCCTATATTTTAAGAGTTTATCATTCTAGATATGATATTTATGTCTTTGATCCATTTTATTAGTTTTTATATGTAGTTTTAGATAAGGATCCACTTCATGCTTTTGGATGAAGATATCCGGCTTCCCCAGCAATATTTATTAAAATGTTTTTTCCTTACTGAATGGTCTTGGCACCTTCTCAAAAGTAATTTTATCATATATATGCATATTCCATTATTTATATGTATGCCTTTATGATAGTATCAGTCTTGATTACTGTAGCGTTGTAGCTACAATAAACCCTGTATCAATAAAGGGGGCTCTGAAAAGGTCATTCACACACACATTAACACGACAGATCTGTGGTTCAGTAGTAGATTACATCTCACATCTGTTTCCATACCCCAATTCCCCATGGCCAAGGTGTGAATACAGTGAAGCCCCCTGCACCTGTTAGGGTGCAGGAGTTTTGCACCATAGGAGAGGATCCCATTTTGAAACTCTGCAATTGTGAAATTTGTCTCCTCTGGAGGTGGGGTGGGGAAGAAAGAGAAAGCAAATAAATAAATGGCTCTGGAGCTTACTACCTTTGGCTCTTGGAAAGTGAGCCAGAGAGGAAACATTCTGTATCCTCCAAGGTATGTTTACCATTCAATACCCTTTCACCCTTGTGCCAGTAACCTGTTTGGAAATCCCCGAATACACATTTTTTTCTCTCACACAGTTTAACCAGGTAACATTTCTTTCTTTCTTTCTTTCTTTCTTTCTTTCTTTCTTTCTTTCTTCCTTCCTTCCTTCCTTCCTTCCTTCCTTCCTTCCTTCCTTCCTTCTTTCCTTCCTTCCTTCTTTTTTGGCAGAACCGGGGATTGAACTCAGATCCTTGCACTTGCCAGGCAAGCGCTTATTCTACTGAGCCATCTCCCTGGCCCCAGGCAACATTTCTTTGTCCCTTCCTGCCCTACATTTCTTTTTTTGGGCAGACAGATTTTCTAGGGATTAAAGGTGAAGAAGATTTCCCTATCCAACCCTGAGCCCAGAACATAGCAGACACCCAGTAAAGATCTGTGGAGTGAATGACATGACTTGTGGTTTAAAATTTTAATAAAGTTGAGGCAAAAGGTTGGCTGATCAAGAAGTGCTGGTGTTGTGATGGTGCTCCCAAAAAAGGACATTCATTCTCCCGTGGCTTAGGCAAAGCCTCGGACCCCTTGGAGCACAGCCAGTGTTCCCGACACTCCCACTGCCAGGTGTGAACGTGCACAGGCCAGGGCCATCCCAGGTTCAGAGTTCATAGCATTCTCTTGGAGGAAGGAGGCTTCAGCGAGGAGGTAGGGATTTCCTTGCAGTGATAGGTTACCCACCTTGGGCAGCTCGTCTAGCCGCGGCGCTCTCTTCAACTTGTTGCAGCTGAGATCCAGCACGTTGAGCTTGGCGGGTAGTCCCTGGGGCACTTGCTCCAGCCCAGCAAATGACAGATTGAGGGAGTTTAGCGTGCTAGGCCAGATGCACTGGGGATCGCCAATGTTTGGGGTAGCGCGCAGTGAGTTGTGACTGAGGTCCAGGCTGTGGGGCTGCACCCCAGCCGTAACCAGCCCAGCGCACACGCCGTTGGGAGTCTCCATCCCTGCATTGCGTAGCACTAGATTCTGAAGGGCCGAGAATTTGTGGGGACAGAGCACCCCGACCAGTCCGCGCTCACCTAGCCCAGGATTGTCAGACAGGTCTAGGGTGGTGAGGGCTGGGAAACTGAGGACCTGTTCGCAGGCTAGGACAAGCGAATTTGCTTGGGCAATGTTCAATACCTTGAGGAGACTCGGCTTGAGCCACCGCTGCATTTGGGCGAGCCACGCACCGCCGGCCGCCCACGACACGTTGCGGAGGCGCAAGGTGGAGATCCCAAGTCCGGTGGCTCCCAGTGGCATAGGCGGCGGCGCGCCGGTGACTTCCAGGTCCTCTAGCGTCAGTTCCTTGAGACGCGAGTACGCTAGCACCCGCAGTAAACCAAATAGGAGCGGAGCGGGAACCTGTGCGGCTCCCACCGTGAGCCGCCGCACGCGCAGCGCCTTGACCAGGTCCACGTACTGCCGCGGGTCGGCCTGGAGGTCCACGCGTTTCAGAAACTGCTCCAGGCTGCGGCCGCCGGCTCGGATCTCCACGTCCACGGCCACCGTACACTGTAGGGCGCTGGACCAGTCGGGCTCCGGATCTAAGAAGTTGCAGGCGCAGCGGATGTCCTCGTCGTCCAGCTCGCAGGGCTCGAGCAGTGGAGGCTGCGAGGTGCCCGCTAAGACTCGCAGCAGCGGCAGCAGCAACAGCAACAAGCAGCGAGCTGGCGCCTGCGAGACAGCGGAGATCAGGACAAGCCCCATCCGCCCCCGGGCTTCCTCGGGCTGCCCTAGAGAGACCCTGAGAGCACATACTCACCATGGTGCAGGAGGTCCGAGAGCGGCTCTGGGAAGAAGGGCTTTGGTTTCTTTTTTGTACTGGGAAGCCCTCCCGCTTCCAGGAGGACGTGCTTATCTCTTGGGCAGCCCCTAAGAGTTTACGTAACTTAAGAAGTCACCTCTCCCTTCTATGAACACTGGTCACTTCTTCACTTCTCTTGCTTCCAACCGCCTCACTCACTTCCCTTCTACAAAATATTGCAACGAAGGTTGTTGTGGGGAGAGTAACCAAAACAGGAAGGGTTTTTCAGGGTATTTAGGCCACTTGGTGCCAGGCAGTCCAGGCAGAGCCAGGATGACTCAAGCGCCCAAGGCGGGTCTACTGGGAATGGGGAAACAAGGATCTTTAGTGCCTTATGGCAGTAGCCTGCTCCCGGAGCCCTGCATATACCCCCACAACGCAGCCTGATTGGCTTCGTTCACTTTTTCCTAGGTTTAGTTACTATTACTCTCTCTCTCCCCCCCCTTCCCCCCTCCCTCCCCCCCGTATTTTTCTGGGTACTGGGGATTAAACTCAGGACCTTGTGTTTGCCAGGCAAGCACTTATATTACTGAGCTATCTCCCCAGCCTGTACTACTCTCTTGATAACCAAATCCAAGTCCCCGGTTTTCCTCAGGTATTTAACTGGATGTTTTGTGGGAGATATTGTGAATTTCATCGGTTGACCCCAGAGGGTAGAATGAAGTTCAAGTGAAGGAGGTTGGTGTGAAGAACAACTCTGCTAACACACACACACACACACACACACACTCATTGTGCTTTTTGTGTCTTCTTCTTCTTCTTCTTCTTCTTCTTCTTCTTCTTCTTCTTCTTCTTCTTCGTCTTCGTCTTCGTCTTCGTCTTCGTCTTCGTCTTCTTCTTCTTCTTCTTC